TTTTAATCAGTATCTTTATAAATCCAATCTTTATTTCTGTTTAGGGGTTGGAAGTAGATAAACAGATAAATGTTTACAGATATATTTTAACATTCTATGTAGTACAAAGGAGCTCTGGTGGCGCAGTGCCTAAGGCACTTGACTGCTAGCCAGAAGGCTAGCTGTTCAAACCCACCAGCCACTCCTCGGAAGGAACACTGGGTAATCTACTTCCAATGTGATACCGCCTCAGAAACCCAAGGAGGGGTCGGTATAAGTTGGATCCAACTCAATGGCACTGAGTGTACCAAAACAACAATAATAAAAGTAATTGTACGTGCAGTTTGTAATTAGAATACTTTGTAAGTCAGGGATGACCTGTATATAATGTATCAGCAATTCTACTTCTGTTGTTGTTGTTGTTATGTGCCATCAAGTTGGCCCTGACTCATAGAGACCCCTCCTTGGGTTTCTGAGGCAGTATCACTACAGAAGTAGATTGCCCAACCTTTCTTCCAAGGAGCGGCTGGTGGATTTGAACCTCCAGCCTTCTGGTTAGCAGTCAAGTGCCTTGGGCACTGTGCCACCAGTGCAAGACTGGCGGTTCAAACCCACCAGCCGCTCCCTGCCATGTATTCTACTTCTAGATGTATTGAATTACCGAAATCTTGGCTCATATTAACCAATGATCACAGACAAGGTTACTCATTGAAGCATATTTGAAATAATGAAAATTTGTTAAAACCTAAACGCCGAACAGTAGGTTGAAATACATTGTAGTTTGGGAGCTCTGGTAGCATAGTGGCTAAGACATCTGCCTGCTAACCAGACGGCTGGCGGTTCAAACCCACCAGCCACTCCTCAGAAGGAAGGTTGGGCAATCCTACTTCCGTAGCGATACTGCCTCGGAAACCCAAGGAGTGGTTGCTATGAGTCGGGCCGACTTGACAGCACATAACAACAACAACAATAGTCGTATAGAAAATAGTCAAAGGGGTTTTTGTTGCAGAAAAATGCCAGCCCTATATTTGGAAATGCGCTGGCAACTAACTGATTGCTGAGGAAGACGTGAGCAGAGCAGAAACACACCATGCATTTCCTCTCCAAACACAGTTAAGCATCTACCATAATGTAGGCAATCTACTTCTGTAGTGATACCACCTCGGAAACCCAAGGAGGGGTTGCTATGAGTCGGGTCCAACTCGACGGCACATAACAACAACAACATAACGTCTGCACAGTCCATCTGTGCTATCACTGTTTTGGCCATGGCAGCTTTTCTAATGTGGGTTCACATTCCAAAGACATCACTAGGTGTTGTGAATGAAACTTCCTTAGTAAACTTTGAGATAAAGTTAAGCAAATTGTCTTTGCTGTAGGACTCTAAGTCTCTTGACAGCCTGAATGAAATAAACACTTATTTGTTCATAGAAGTTATTTGGTATTCAAAACTTTGTAAGCCTCTGTGGCCACAGAAAACTTTTCCAAGTACCACTAAGTACTAGTGTCCCCAGAGACATTCTTTCAGATATGCTGGATTAAGGCACTCTTTCCAAAAGACCTCAAAAAAAAAAAAAAAAAAAAAAAAAACCTCAGGTTACAAAAATATGGTACCCTGATGGGATAATACACTGATTTATTAAATGTTATTTGCTTTATTATATGACTCAAAATACTCAGCTTCTTGTTACATTGAATTGTTGACATATAAACGTAATTTGCAAATGATGGCATCTATTAGATACTAAATGACTTGTAAAATTATATATTATGGTATTCACAATAGCTAATGATCTTATTTGCATAAAATGGACAGGGAGTTACGGAGTTGCAAATCATAGTAAACACCTCAATAAGATCATAAACACTTTAGTTGACAGCACATGATTTGTTATCGATCTCAGTGGTTCTGTTGGGGAAAGGTGGTACCTTTTAAAAAGAATTTGATTACAGTTGTGCAACTATGTATGTTCACACACACACATACACACACATTCCTACATATCATTTATAAACAAAAGCCCAAAACCCCAGCTGCTGTTAATTGTGATCCCTAGTGGCCCCATGTGTGGTGAAGTAGAACTGTGCTCCACAGAGCTTCTGGAAGCTCACACACCCCCACATCTGGAGGCTGATGATGGACTTGAGACCTCAGTGAGGACTCCAGACAGGACACCTCTAGTTGAACTTTCCATGGAGCTACTTGGCTCCTTCACAGCATGGCAGCTGGGCTTCAAGGGTAAGAATCCAAAGGGGCCAGGTGGAGGCTACACTGTCTTTTGTGACTCAGTCTTGGAAGCTGCATTGTGTTTTGGAGTCCCCTAGTCATTTCTGCCATAATCACAGGCCTGCCTGCCCAGATTAAAAAGGAAGGACTGTGGACCCCACCTATTGATTGGCGAGTGTCAATATCACATTATAAACAGTGTTGAATGGGATATTTAGTGTGGCCATCTTTCAAAAAATATATTCTGCTACACCAAGTAATGGTATGTAGGATAACTCAGTAGCAAATATAGCATTGTATGCCACTTAATGTGTTACAAAATAAAATACAGAGTATCACCTATTAAGTATTCTTGCCAAACTAATTCATCTGCACTCCTGATATAAATTTGGAATGTGACATTCTATAAGGCAACTGTCCCAAACTCAAATCAATACCATGACAAAGTTGGGGGGTGTTCTTATTGAAAATTATTAACAGTGAATAAGTAGAAGCAATCCATGAATTTATTTTGATTCTTGAATTTTAAAAAAATTATCTATAAAGAGCATTTTTTCCCATAATTGAGGAGATACCAATATGGACTGAGTAGTAAAGATTATGGAACTGTCGTTAATCTCTTTGGGTGCTAAGTTATATAGTGATTAAGTAGGATGTGGCCTACTTACTTTTTTTTCTGGTAATCTATTTTTTATTGCATTTTACAAAAGTATTAGTCAACAACAGATCTGGGAGCAGGCGTCTTCCCTTTGGGTGTATTGAGATGCACTGCATCAGTATCAATCTGCTAAAATTTAGCCATGACTGGGTGATGTTATAGTTTCTCAACTCTTTAACAGATATAGTATAAAACCATTCCTATTGTGAACATGAAGCAAAAAAGAATTCCCACAGAAAGTCTAGTATAAATTTTCTTGTTTCCTAACAACTTTCTTACATTATGAATTCATTGCTACCGTAAATGTTATGAATATTTCCTGAAGGCTATCATAAACTCTTTACATTCATAGGATTTCTTCACTAATGTGATTTCTCTGATGTAAAGTAAGTTGATCTCTACGAATAAAGGCTTTCCCACATTCTTTACATTTATAGGGCTTTTCACCAGTATGGATTCTGTGATGTCGAGTAAGTTCTGAGTTAACACTAAAGGCCTTCCCACATTCTTTACATTTATAGGGTTTCTCACCAGTATGAACTGTGTGATGTCGAGCGAGTTCTGCTTGAAGACGAAAGGCAGTCCCACATTCCTTACATCCGTAGGGTTTCTCACCAGTGTGAAGCCTAAAATGCTGCGTAAGATGATACCGACGACTAAAGGTCTTCCCACATTCCTTACATTCATATGGAATCTCACCAGTGTGGATTCTCTGATGTAAGGTAAGTTGATAACTACAGATAAAAGCATTCCCACATTCTGAACAGATGTAGGGTCTCTCACCAGTATGAATTCTGTAGTGTTGAGTAAGATGGTAGTGACGACTGAAGGTCTTCCCACATTCCTTACATTCATAGGGTTTCTCACCAGTGTGGATTCTATGATGTTGAGTAAGATGATTGCTACGTATAAAGGCTTTCCCACATTCTTTACACTGATACGGTTTTTCGCCAGTATGGATTCTGTGATGCTGAGTAAGTTCTGTTTGGAAACGAAAGGCTTTCCCACACTCTTTACATTCATAGGGTTTCTCGCCAGTATGGATTTTGTAGTGCTGCGTAAGATTATAGTGACGACTGAAGACCTTCCCACATTCCGTGCACTCAAAGGCATTCTCACTGGTGTGAGTTCGCTGGTGTGAAATAAGTTGACTGCTACGAATAAAGGCTTTCCCACATTCCTTACATTCATAGGGTTTCTCACAAGTATGGATTCTGTGATGTCGAGTGAGTTCTGCTTGAAGACGAAAGGCTTTTCCACATTCTTTACATCCATAGGGTTTCTCACCGGTATGAATTCTGTAGTGTTGCGTAAGATGATAGCGACTACTAAAGGTCTTCCCACAGTCCTTACATTCGTAGGGAATCTCACCAGTGTGAGTTCTCAGATGTAAAGTAAGTTGATAGCCACAAATAAAGGCCTTCCTACATTCCTTACATTCATATGGTTTCTCACCAGTATGCATTCTGTGATGCCGATTAAGTTCTGTTTGAAGACGAAAGGCTTTCCCACATTCCTTACATTCATAGGGTTTCTCACCAGTGTGAATTCTCTGATGTCGAGTAAGTTCTGCATGAAAACTAAAGAACTTCCTGCATTCTTTACATTCATAGGGTTTCTCACCAGTATGAATTTTCTGATGTTGAACAAGGTAGGAGCCATGACTGAAGGCCTTCCCGCATTCATTACATTTATAAGGTTTCACACCAGTATGAATTTTCTGATGTTGACTAATATGTCGCTGCACTCTAAAGGTTTTTCCACAAACCTTACACTCATAAGGCCTCTCGCCAGTATGAATTCTCTGGTGTTCTGTAAGTTGATAATTAAGTCTAAAGGCCTTCCCACATTCCTTACATTCATAGGGTCTCTCCCCAGCATGAATTGTCTGATGTACTCTAAGGTCTCTAACACGACTAAAGGTCTTTCCACATTCCTCACACTCATAGGGTTTCACACCAGAATGTATTCGTTGATGTTCGGTAAGATGATAATGAAGTCTAAAGGCTTTCCCACATTCCTTACATTCATAGGGTCTCTCCCCAGCATGAATTGTCTGATGTACTCTAAGGTCGCCCACACGACAAAAGGCCTTCCCACATTCCTTACACTCATAGGGTCTCTCACCAGTATGAATTCTCAGATGTTGAATAAGGTATGACTGCTGTCTAAAGGCCCTCCTACATTCCGTACATTCATATAATTTCTCTCCAGTATGAATTTTCTGATGTAGAGGAAGAGATACATGTTTTCTGATTATCATTTGACCAATGTATCCCATCTGATGTCCTTCCTGTCTCTCAAATCCATGTTTGCATTGCAAACCATTTCCAAACATGGTGTCCTCATTGATGTGGGTCTCACTTTTTTCCATTGTCTGCCATTGAGATAAATACATTTCACAAATGTTCTGTTCTGGAAATAACTGCTTGTTGACATACTTGGACTCCAAATCTGAAAAATAAATAAATAAATAAATAAATAAATAAAATGCTGTAATATTATTTTTCTGTGTTGTGGGTGGGGTGAGAGGTTGCATCTTATGACAGAAACAAGAGACAAGCAATATAATGCACATTAGAAGTTTGTGAAAGACTTAGAGCAGGGCCAGAGAACTTTTTTGTAAAAAAAAAAAACGTCTTAGGCTTTACTTGGCTGCGGTGTAGTAAATTACCTGGTGTGGCTTTTTTAGCCATAAGTCTTTGTAAACTCCATGGTGGAATTTGCTCTGAGCAACTGAGGAGCTCCTGATTGTAAATGTTATCCACCTGGGGTATTTCTGTTGGGAGTAGCACAAAGCAATGTTCTGGGAAGTTTGCCCCTCTCAGGTGCTTAGAATTCTGATGTTATGATTAGCTAGTTTGGCCACTCTGCCAGGCTCAAAAGGAGGCCTCTTAAAGGCAGAAGGCTCTCTGACTGCTGGCGGAGGAAGACATGCTGCTGAGAGAAACACACTCCTGAGGGCCACATGCTGCTGAGAAAGAGACATCAAGAGACATGCACTGCTGGAAGAAAGATTGAGAGAGACACGCAATGCTGTGAAAGAGACAATGAGAGACACACGTTGCTGAGAAAGAGACACTGAGAGACACACATTGCTGGGAGAGTGGCTGAGAGAGACTGTTGACGGAGAGACGGCAGGCTGAGAGAGACTGAGCATTTTTCCTGAACTTAAATTGTAGCCTGGGGCTTCCCTAATAAACCCCATAATCTGTGAGTTCTGTGTGGCCGCTGCAGTGAATTATCGAACCCAGCAGAGAGGTGGTGGATGCTGTGGGAGGAACAGCTGGTGTCAGGGTTGGTGAAAGGGCTGGAAGGAGGTAGTATGCCTGGCCTCACAAGAATAGGCCTTGGACTACTACTGATGGTGATTCTGTCTTCCTCTTGTGGGGTTAGAGGAGGTCGGAAGATGTGGCCTCCCTGCCCCTTGGGCAATAGCATATGGTCTTTTTCATCAGATGATTTGGATGCAGATCATTTTGATAATCTGTAACTAATTCTTTCACTAAAGCTTTCTCTTTAGCATTAGAATAAAGTCCAAACACACTACTATGGATTAAAAGGCCCTTGCTTATGTGTAATAGGTCATATAGGTCTGTATTCAAGCCATGGATGTCTCTGTTCCCAATCTCCTACCATAGTGCACCCTCTCAGTTCCTAGAATATGCCACAGTCTTTGCTATATCCTAATGTTTTCCACAGGCTGCTCTCTCTCCCAGGAATATCTGACTTTGGAGCTTTGAATGGCTGGCCCCTTTCTTGCCCTTCAGGTCTCAGGTTAAATGTCTTTTCCTCAGAAAGGCTTAAAAACACTCATGGAAATAAAAGACATCATGATTAAAGAAGTAAAGAAAAGTAAGGTGACAATGTCATAGCAAATAGACAATATCAATAAAGAAACAGAAATTACTAAAAAAAAGAAAAAGAAAAAAAAGGAACTGAATGGAAATGCTGGAGGTGAAAATACAATAACCAAAACGAAAAAGTCACTAGAGAGGACCAACAGTAGAATTGAACTGGTGGAAGAAAGAATATAAGACCAATTGAGGATAGAGAAATAGAGATTATGTGAGCCAAAGAACACAGAGAAAAAAAAAACTGTTCTGGTTACTGAGTGCCACTCTGACAAGAATATACCACAAATGGGATGGCCTTAACAAACAGGAGTTTATTCTCTTACAGTTTGGAGGCTTT